TGAATCACTATCAAAATATCACTATCCAATAACCTTGAGTATAATGCTTGGAATGTTGACTACTTGGGCATTGCCATTCAAGTGGACTGACGCAACGAGAGTAGATTTAGAGTAGCTTCGTCTCCTTGTGCAGAATCAATTCCCGTCAGATTAAAATAATTCTGACGCCCATTCGACAGGTATCGCTGACTGTTCGCCTCAGTAGGTATAGGTATGTACTAAAGTACTTGGCTAAGGAGAAGAAGCATTCCACGTGACCGTGAACTCTCACTGAGTACTTATTTGCGCATATTTACGAATATTTTCTGCCTAATACCAAATTGGATGCTTGATCGATTTTTTCAAGCACCCGCTGGGTTTGCTCGGATATTTTACTGTCCACGAGCGTACGTCCATCACTATCTAGCACCACCGGGAACTCGATTGTTCTCTGCATCTCCCGCTCGTCTAGCAAAGAAGAAGATGCCTCCTAAGAAAGCAGCAGCAGTCGAGAAGAAGGTTCTCCTCGGTCGACCGAGCAACAATCTCAAGATTGGCATCGTAGGTTTGTTCTTGAACATGATAGGATGGATATTCACCGATTGACTTGTCTCATTATGTAGGTGTCCCTAACGTTGGAAAATCTTCCTTCTTCAATGCACTCTCCGAGACCGGTGTGTGATACAATACACCATCGATCCATCAATCATTTTATTTATCGCCTTCATATCTTTAGATCTCGGAAAGGCTGCCAATTTTCCTTACGCTACCATAAATCCCGAAGAAGCGCGTATTCCAGTGCCAGACACGCGTTTTGAATGGTTATGCGAGACATATAAGCCAGTCTCACGCGTCCCTGCATTCCTCACTTGCATTGATATCGCCGGCCTCACAGCGGTAAGTTGCCGATTGAATCCACGTCATCACCTTCTCTCATCTCTCCACTAGGGTGCGTCCACTGGTGCTGGTCTTGGCAACGCTTTCTTGTCACACGTCCGCGCTGTCGATGGTATCTTCCAGGTTGTTCGTGCCTTCGACGATGCTGAGGTTATTCACGTCGAGGGTGATGTTGATCCTGTCCGTGACATGGAAATCATCCAAACGGAACTGAGGTTGAAGGATATTGAATGGGTAGAAAAGCATCTCGACGGCTTGAAGCGCAGTGGACGTTCTCTGGGTAACACGAGTCTGGCCGACAAAGCCAAAAAGGAAGAGATTGTGAGTCCATGCTCAACAGTTTGACAGTGAACGAACTTGACCTCAGGTCCAAGGCCACAGTAGAGAAAATTCTCAAGGTCCTCACCGTTGACAGCAAGGATGTTCGCAAAGCGGAGTGGACTAATAAAGAGGTGGGTACCTCGTTTCACTTGTATCATATCATTTCTCTTTGCTCTTATATGATGAAAAAGAGCGTATCGCTCGAATAACCCAGCTCGTCGAGGAGGGAGTAACGCCCCACTATTCCTATGAGATATTCTATTTTCCTGACCATCATTTTACTGTCAACACATGATTTATCAAACACTCTTACTAAAAATCTTTTCCGTAGGTAAATCACACTGATTCTTCAAGCCACATCGTACACAATTCCTGCTTCATATGACGATAAAGAGCTCGAAGCTCGATAACCCAGCTCGTCGAGACGGGAGTAACGCCCCAAAATGTCTCTGAGAACAACCGTTCATCTGACTCTTTTCCTCTTCATCCGGACTTCCTTTAAACAATTGAAATCTTACTCACTATTCCTCCGCAGATTGAAGTCGTCAACGGCCTCACTCTACTCACTGCAAAACCCATTACCTACCTCGTCAACCTCAGCGAACGCGACTACGTTCGGAAAAAGAACAAATGGTACATCCATCCTTGTGGTTACCCATTCCATCGCTCACTCTTGACTTCCCGCGCGCAGGCTTCCGAAGATCAAAGCATGGATCGATACCAACAATCCGGGTGATCCCTTAATCCCCTTTTCCGTTGCGCTTGAGGAGCGCATGGTGACAATGTCACCTGAGGAGAAGAAGGAGGAAGAGACCAAGGTCGGCGCTACCAGTGCCCTCGGCAAAATCAC